AAAAACTATTACTTTTTGTATTCAGGCATCAGTAATTTTGTGGGCAAATTGTTTTCTCCATCTTAAAGCAGAAGAGGGGTGGATGGTGGTTGTGTGTGTGTGTGTGTGTGTGGGGGGGGGGGGGGGGTGCATAAGGAACTGATTAAATATGCTGATGATGGAGAAGCAAAGTTTCACAACAGGAATAAGTCCAAGTGACATAAAAAGACAAGAAGTTCCTGAAAAGTGTTTGTGAACGAGAGCTGCTGTCAAAGACCAGAAGAAACCTGTTCTTCTGTTGAACAAAGTGAGCCGGTCTCCACGGTAGGAAGAATATATTTTAAACATGATCATTTGAATCTTCTTCTCAAATCACATTTGTCTAAAGAATGACTTACAACTTATTGTACCGCTGACAATATAAATGTATACACTAAATAAGGGAGGGCGTTCTGCATTAGCTTTTTAGCTGTTTTGGTCCTGAAAGTAACTTTAAGTAACTGCACGCAGCATTGTGGAATTTATTTGTGCTTAAAGTGCGCATTGAGGATGACTGTCAGCTACTACAACCACACCACATTTTAGCTCAGTCCTGTAAAAGCTGACTGAGTTATAGAAATTCTGGGGGGGTTGCAGGAGTTGTGATGGCCAATTTGAGTTGGCTTTACTCTAATCACAGTAAGTCAGTGATTATTTTCTGAGTTTCACTTGAACACATCCAGTGGTTTGTGCAATTTCTTGCTAACAGACAGCGTTTACATCAACTGTAAAACTCAACATTGTAGACAAAGGTCTCAGAGTGAATGCCGGAGACGACTCTCAGCTACAACACCAAGTTTGAGCCCAATATATGTCCTCAAATAATCTGTGAGGCCATCTCGCATCAGACTGATTCTAAATCAGGGGCAGAGCCAGGGGGTGGCACAGACAAATCTTTGGCCACCCCATTGGCCACCCTGCTGTACACACCCCTTCCACAGTGAAACAACATTTAGGGGTGTAATAATSCTCCTGAACAGTTGGTGGCAGTGTTTAACAGTTCGAAACATCACCAAGCTCTATCACTGAAGAAGAGTAATGACAAAGAAGTGATGGCTTTTCCTTGTTATACATAACAAATGCCTATATGATCTGATTTATAGTGTCGACGTTTGGACTTATGGTGACAAATGTTTTTTTTTTTTTGTCACCATAACACAGTGTAATTTTATGTTATGAAGACTGCATGATGCTCTGTGTTTGGTTATGAGTAGGCTGATCACTAAATCAGAAAAACTGAAACACCCCTCTAAATTCACTGTTGGTGGTTATCAATATTGCACCTGTTCATTGGGTAAAATTATTAATGTTAGTTTTAAACATGCAGATGAAGGTCATCATTATTTGGCACAATGACATCTGTTACAATTAAAAATAAATCAATAATCAATATAAAAATAAAAAGCACTCCTATAGTCATAAATTGTGTCATATTAATTAATCTTGTTTCAGCTGTAGCCGTGAGTTTAAAACAAGATAATGGAATTAGTTTAATGAAGAATTTGCCTCTGAAATAATTATTAAACCAAGTGTTTATTTATGTAGGTAAAAATATGTTTAACAACCTGGTAAAATACACCAGAATGCAGGAAATGGTATCTACTTCATTCAAAATTTTCTGGGGGAGGACCCCCAGACCCCCCAACAGTGCCCCACCACACACACTTTTAAAATGGTTCTGACATCTATGTTGATAAGGTAGTCACTGCCTGTATAAGGACATAAGGAAATGAGGAAAACACAAAGATTTGCAGAAACTTTCAGGTAAAAAAAATGATGTGATTTTCGTGGCCTCCCCTGTGTGAGTAGTGGTCCCAGTCTGGCCACCCCTGAGAAAAATGTCTGGCTCCGCCACTGCTCTAAATCACTATTGACCGTCTTTGTGCATAGTGGATTGTAAAAATAGATAGTTCAGTGTTCTGCCAGTTTAAATTGGAAATTAAACTAAATGTGCGATTATATTTTGCGAACTGGAGAAAATTATTGATGTTGCACCTAATGAGTGTCAAACTTCTTATGCTAAAATTTTATTTAGATTTTTTTTTCACAAGCATCAACTTTAAGTTTGCTTTGCAGAAGTGATTAAATGTCAAATGCCAAATCTGGCCATCGTTACCATTTTACCTGCAGGAAGGTGATACTTTAAATGTGAAATAATTTTATGGTTTCTATTTTTGTCACTGAATATAGTGCATTCTTCTCTTGAAAACTGGCCAACTTTCAAGCCAAGAAAATTTATTTTGATTTTGGTGTGGAAAGAGTAGAGAATATATATACATACATACATACATACAT